CCAAATAGCCACTGTCTTCAACCCCTAATAGCACACCCCACCAAGACCGATCAAGCAACAAAAACATTTCATCGTTGAGTTTGCTGATGTCAGTGTAACACCCTTGGCTCCGCTCATGTAGATAAAAATCAACTGCGGTCTTAGCCCAAAGGGTATTATCCACAATTGTTTCCGGTAGTTGTCTCCTCTCCACTTCAGATACCGGAAGGGTACTAGCCGGTAACTCATACGAGAGCCAACTCTCATCCATCATGTCTGGAACCGGTGGGGGTTTCTCAATACTTCGATATATTACCCCATGTGAATCGGGCTCTGGAATGGTGGGAGGGACCTCTTCAACGATGACAGTGGCCTCTTGAACGGTGGGGGGGAATCTTGAGTGAGAATAGGGGCCTCTTGAACGATTGGAGGGGACTCTTGAGGGATGACCGGTGAGTCGGGCTTCTTCTTGCGGAGTCTTCGCACCATTGGGGTGAACGGAGACGTAATAGCACGTCCACGCCGTCTGATGCGTGAACTCCGTCGTGCAAGGAAAACCCGACGTAAAGCATCCACCTTATCGGGCCGCTAAAAAAATTAATACATAAATCAGTAAATAAACAGACATGATATTAAACAAAGACAAATATGTTTCAAACTAGCATTGTATTCACCCAAATCATTATTCTATCATAGTTCACAAAATGCTCAGATAACATTCCAGAAGTAAGCACTTATATAAACATTTAAAAGGACAACATATATAAACATTCCAGAAGAAGAATAGTTTACTTTCGCAACACGAAACTTAAAATCGCAACGCGAAATGACTATCGCAACGCGGAAATGGCTATCGCAATGCGAAATGAAAATCGCAACGACAAAATCGCAACGCGAAATGAAATCGCAACGACAAAATCGCAACGCGAAACACAAATCGCATTGCGATTTTCATTTCGCGTTGCGATTTTGTCGTTGCGATTTCATTTCGCGTTGCGATTTTGTCGTTGCGATAGCCATTTCCGCGTTGCGATAGTCATTTCGTGTTGCGAAAGTAAACTATTCTTCTTCTGCAAATTGAAACTTGAATGGATTGCATTACTTCAACCAAAAGACAAAAACAAAACCAAAAACAAATACTAACAAAAACAGATTGGCAGCAACCGAATGAATTACGAGTATGAAAAATCTTAAACTTACCTCGTTGCGTAGAGTATGAACCTCATTCTGCAACGATGCTACCATCTCACGTAGAGCGGCTACCTCACCGCGTAATGTAGACACCTCAACACGCCATGCACCATCGTCTTTACGTAAAGTACCGACCTCCTCACGCAAGGCATTGACCTCATCACGTAACTCCCCTAACTCATCCCGTTGAGGTGGAGGTGGAGAACAGGGAGATAAACGTCGTGGCATCTTTGCCGGTCGCCTATCTTGCGGTGATGGTGGAGAAGAGGCTCGATGATGTGACAGAATAGGTGATGGCTGTCGTTGTGGAGGTGTATAGCCGGGTCGATCAGATGATGGCTCTGGGTGGGGTGATAGCTCTGGGCGAGGTGATGGCTCCCGAAGTGGAGGCTGCTCATCAACCGTTCCATCAAAAAAACGCTTACTAGCTTGCCACCAATCAGTGGCAAGCTCAGCTTCCGTGGGTGTCAGCCTCTGTAGAGGAGTGTTGGCCTCCTAACAATATAAAAGCTCAAACAAAGTTAAATGTGTACTAGTAATAACTTGTTTATAAACATATGGTAGTATTTATGTTAACTTACATTATTTATTGTCGTATACCGTAGTAAATCTTCCCATTGCAAGGTTCGTTTCCTCTTCCAGGAAATAGCCCTGGGAATATTATTTGAAGTTTTTATTGCATATGTCTTCATGGCGGGAAAGGCCTCAAATATCCAAATCTACAAACAATATAATAACAAACATTAGTAATTGTTAAATAATTACTTATAATTTTGAAAACATTATATAAAAATTCTTACCTTAAAGGCCCAAATAAAGCCTGTCAAAGTGTATTTGGAACCATCGCCATGCAAACTTTTTCGATCATCCAAGGCAGACGATAACTTATTCCATGTAGCTTTCCATAAATACGAGCCCCACGGAAACAGGTTCCACGCATTTAGGTCTTCTACCAATTTGATTAGATCATTTGGAATAGGTTGTCTGGCCTCTCTGCCTAAAAAGCCGGCATGCAAAAGAATTAGAAGGCATACTCGGACAACGTCGACGTCATCCATCCGAGTAAAACCATCTTTATTATTCAAAAATCTTGTCAGGTCTTCTACGTGTAGACTCGGCCTCTCCAGCTCAGGAAAAACCTGGGATAGCCATGATGGGCGTGTAATGTGTCTAGTGTACCGACCTACATCATCGTGTCCGAAGCGTAGACCGGTGATTAAGCAAAACTCCTCCCGCCCAAAACACATATACGCCGGTGGAAAATCAAACCGTATCTCTTCATCACGACGTTGTATAGTCTCTGGTAGATCTCTAGTCATTGTTTGAAGAAACAGGTGTGTCAACATCGCATCTCCACCGGGATGTTGTACTTTCAGCCATGGCCCGAAGCATGTATCCTCAAACATTTTTCTTTGTGCAGGTGAAAGCTTCGACGCAATTGTTTTGGCCAGGCTGACTTTATTTCTCAAGGTCAATTGAGCCGAATAAAAGTTCTACAAAAACAATAAACATACTAAATTAGATATACCAAAAACTACACTGTGAAGATATACCAAAAACAATAATAAACATAAATAGTAGTAGTTTATTCTTCAAACTTAAATATGCAACACTGTGAAGTAATCGCAACACGAAAATGACTATCGCAACGAGAGAATCACAACGCGAAACTAAAATCGCGTTGCGATTTGCATTTCGCGTTGCGATTCTTGGTTGATTTAATAAGCAATCTAAGTGAAATGGTTAATCTATTATTGAAATTACCAGTAAACTTATCATCAATTTCAATATGAAAAACCTAATAATAATGCAAAAATTTCAAAAAGAAAATAATTAAAAAAACTAACCCTCGTTGGTTGATTTGGTTGATTTTTCATTTCTGATTGTGAGGGTGGCTCTGAGAGATTTAGATAGACGGATTTCGCCGGAGATGGGGACGGATTTCGTCGGAGATGGGTGAGAGAGTGAGAGATGGAGATGGGACTGAGTTGTGATTTTAGGTTTTAGGTTATGAGTTGCGATTACGGGATATACTGTGGACAGTTCAGTGTTCCAATATATTAATATTCATGTTTGGAATTTAAAAATAAAATACTTGGCCAGGATACTAATGGCGCTTTGAAAATCGCATTGCGATTATGTAAATCGCGTTGCGAAAGTCAGTATCGCGTTGCGAAAGTAAGTATCTCGTTGCGATTTTGTATTATCGCATTGCGATAGTAAGTATCGCATTGCGATTTTCCCAATTCGCGTTGCGATTTACTTATTCGCATTGCGATTTTCCCAATTCGCGTTGCGATTTACTTATTCGCATTGCGAATTGGGAAAATCGCAACAATACTGTAGACCATCGCAACGCGATTTTCAACTATCGCATTGCGAAAATGCAACGCGAATTTGCGATAATGGAGATCGCGTTGCGAATTAGCGATCGCATTGCGATTTTGTTGGTCATTTTGGCAAATCCGGAAAAAGTTGGTTAAAATCGTATATTATATGGGATTTTTGGTCACTGAGGTTATTTTCTCTACTTTTAAATCAATTTTCAAAAGTAATATCAAACTGGTCATATGAATGAATGTACAATGTCAAAATTAGCTTCAAATATTTATTAAAATGGCCATTTTGGTTCTTTTTTAGATTATTTTGACCCACAATATTTCTTTTTATAACAAAAAAGTATATAATATTTGATTGAATAGTCATTTTGATCCTTATTCTTTATTTCTTTTCATTTTAGGGTAAAAATATACTTATTTTGGAATGTTAATAGTTTGTTAATTAACGGTTTCCATCTATTGAGGGGCCTTTTTGCCCCAAAACAAAATCTTAGGGCCAAAATGCTCCAAAATAGAATAGAGACTAAAATGATCATTTTACTAAACGTTAGGAGCTAATTTTGACGTTATATCTAGAATGAATTGGTCCTATTGGTCCTCCACCTTTACGATGATCATGTGCAAAGCTCAAATGATTTCTTCTTCTGCCCTGTCAATGAACTGATGGTCCACAATATTGTGATACCGTTGCTTTAAACTTATCACTTACACTCAGGAAATGAGGGGATTTGAAATGTTGTTTCGTAAAACATTTTGGTTTGTTTCTTTAGACTTTCATGCATGCAAATCCTGAGGAGATCTGCATAAAGTGAATGGATTGGAATATTTTAAAGATTTAGATCAGATGTATGACGATTCAAGAGGCTATTACATTTTAGTCCCTAGCTATCATATCATCAACTCCCATTGGTATTGAACTTATCACTAATTCCTTGAGGTTTTATCACCATCTTCTCAAGCTCAGGCTTAGGATCTCCCTATTGATACCATGGTCACATAATAGTAACGATGATGTGGTCCTGTGCTTAAGCATGAACAACTCAAGAAACTTATTGTACTTTTCCTGTTGATGGGTCGGCACACTTGATAGTAGTCTGTAAGGAGCATTTGGTGTGTGTATGCTCCAATAATTGAGTAGAAGTAGAAATTACTCAGGTCAGTTGATGAAATTATAATTGCAGAACCTTGGAGATGACAAGTGACAACTCATGTCTGCATAATTTTTTTCCATTTTCCAGATATAGATTAAATGGTTGCAGGAAGCAAACAACCATAAACATCAAAGATAGTACTAGGAAACTGCTTAAGTTCTAGAATTGAACTAAGTGAATGCAAGATCATCTTCATGATTTAAGCTTTTCATTATGCATTTTTAGGACAAATAATAAAAGCAGCTTTTTCTATTGTGAAGCTGAATCAGATTTATTTTGCAATAAAACTCATATCTTTAATGACTTCATACATTTCATACATTGTAACTAAAGACCAATCTAAATAAAATATGGTAAATATTCATGTATGTCACATGCTAGACATGGACTCAAGATGCACAGAAGTCTCTGGGCACAGTTTACTGTGCTCACACAAAGCATAAAAAGCACTGCAAGGATAAAACTACTTATATGGCCCTTTGTACTTCTTTAAAGAGCACACCAAGCGTAGAAGGAAAATGTAAAAGGGTGTTTAAGTTTCTCCATTTCTTGTAGTATATGCGGACCGAGAAATGGAAAGAACCTTCACACAAGAAAGCTGAAGATGAGGAGAACGGATCTATCTTCAAAAACAAAGGATTTGTGTTAAAAGAGAGAGCTTGCAGAAGTTACCAAAAAACACATGGATAAAGTTGTAAGGAGTGAGAGGAATGTTGCTTTATTTCCCACACAAGGCAACATCTCTTTTTGATGGTCTGAAATTCAATGCAGTGAGGCTGTAGATGCAGAGATTGGGGTGTCTGGATTTAATGGCTATCTGGTCAGTTGTGCTTTTGTAACCAGGAATGTTGCATGAAGTAGATGAGCTCCCAACCAGACTTGCCTGGCAAGATGATGCAAAGACAGCCTCTGCACATTTGATCCCATCAACTGCTGGTATTTCAAGCCTGTAAACTCCATGTTTATCCGTAGTTCTGTTGACTGAGAATGATACTTGCTCTCTTGTTTTTGGAACAAATGCCTTGAAGTTGCAGGATATTTGAACTTCTGCACCTGGTTTATGCAATATCTCGATTAATAAGATACATGCTTTCATTTTAATTTGTTACTTACTAAATACCCAAAGTAGAAAACAGCAAAACTAGAGAAACTTCACCTGGTAAGAAGTAGCTGTGTCTGGAGAAGCTGTTGTTGGAGCAAATGTCACAATAAACAAGGCCCATTACAGTGATCTGGGCATTATTTTTTACCGGCTCTGGTTTCAAAGAAAATGCCATAGTGAACAGAGCAGACAAAAAGAAGAGAACCATTAGGTTCATGGCAGGGAAATTTGGGAGATGAGAAACAAACTTGTACATAACTTTCCCTATGAATGGTGGTTGGCTTCAATGAATAGCTTACAGAGCATTACCATGTAGTTGAAGATGAGTTTTTGGAGTGTGGATAGAGGATAGTAGTAGTAGGGAGTAGTTGGTGGAGATCCAACTGTAAGCAAAAGTGGAGCAAATTTATCATTTTCCACAAGAAAGCAAACATGTGAATGTATTTTGGCAATATCTGGACTTGATGGGTAGGAGAGAGAAGAGAGTAGCTTATTTTATGAGGGTAGCTTCATTTGTCACATTCACTGTGGGGCATTATTTTGAAGGCCAAAGTTTATAATAAGCATAAAATCACTTGCTCAAGATTTGCCAAAGTTTATAATAAGCAAATATTCCTTTGATTAAGGAAAATCTTAATTGTTTTTGGCTCCAGTCACTAATGAACTCTTGTAGGGATGAGTCATTTATCTAACATAAGCAGATTCAAGTTTGGTGCTTAACAGAAAGCTAATTAACTCTGAATTTATTGCTCACTACTAGTAATGCATGCATTGATGCAGAAAGTTTTAAATGAATGAATGGGGCATTTAAGAGAGAGGCATTGATATCACATGCAAGTTAAAGGGAAAACATTTAAGTTGTTCACGTGTTAATCAGAAGAAAAGGTGAGGATAGAGGGATTAAGTCACATCAGCTGTGATGGCATACTAGTAGCAAAATCATGAATCAATTGAAACTCGAAAACAATGAGTACCTACCAAAGAGAAGTTTTTTGAGTTCGTGTCAGCTAACCTTACACTATTCCCTGTTCTGAATTCTCCTTTCATGGCCGGAGCTGCTGCTGATTTGATACTGAACACCTGTTTTACCAGCACCACTGTGACTCACCAATAAATCGTACAACTTCAGGAACCTGTGAGATCACCAATCTTTTTCTGCAATATTTAACATTAGCATAAGTTTCCTTGGGGGGGGGGGGCTCATCCACCTTCTTTTCTGCTATAGATAAACATTAACAACATTTTATGTTTTGGAATATGCATGAAAGAAATGATATAGATAGAATATACATGCTTTGACATTTAATACAACATAAGACTATCAACTCAAATTAGAACTTAGATTCTCTGTAGTCAATAACTAAATCACTTTCGTTACAGATGGTTGCACAACGACATGCATGGTGATTACTGCTTGAGTAAGACCACGGTAATCACTTATTTTATCTTTTCATTTATTTATTATTATTATCAAATAAATAAAAGTAAATATATATATATATATATATATATATATATAAACCATTTATAAGTGTAAACCAGATCCAAAATAAAAGGTCCATTAATAAATGAAACCCAAATTCCCATATCCATTACACAAAACTAAATCCAAACCCAATTACATTTAACCCTAAATCTGGCTAGCCCAACAAGCTCAAATATTTAGGGTTGTTAAAAAACCCTAGCTCAATGAAGAAGCTGCTGCGTCGCCAGCTGTGGCTCTCCAGATGTCAGCAACAAGATCTCACACGTGAGAAGCCATGCCCTTCGGTGGTCCCCTCTTCCACACCAACAAGCAAGGACTCATCCAACAGTGGTCCCGATCCCAGCAAACCCCGACGATCCTCCACATAAGATGCCAACATGCAAACAAGAAAACAAAATTGTATGAATGGTAAAAATGCGATAGGAAGCCGATTTGGCCTACAATCAGATATTTTTCGTTTCCCTTTTGTAACCTTGAGAGTGGTTTTAAAACCTTCCACAAAATATAACAAGGATTGGTCCTATCATAATAAACCCCCCAATAAAAACTAGAGTTTTTGAAGGTATCTCAATCCTTTTTATTTTATTTTGTGCGTGTGTTTTCCAGTATACTTTCTAGTCATATTTGTTTGAATTGTCTGTCCAGCTCAGTTGGTAGAGCATAAGGCTTTTAACCTTAGGGTCGTGGGATCGAGTTTCACGGGGGTAATTCATAATTTGGAGGTCTCCACAGAAACTGCTCTCAACCTGACGTTGGTGGCAGCCTTACTATCCTACCTCCCCTTACCTCATTACATATGAGAATAAGAGTCATCTTAATTTTTTTCTAGTCATATTTATCCTCAAACGAGTATTCTTAATCATTTCAAATTTTATCAATTTATTAAGTCAAACTATTATGATTATTTTAGTACACGAGAGCATTTTTTTTATAGTTTTTGCCACTAAAGAGAAATTTAGTTATTTTCCTAGTCATATGGGTATTTTAGGCATTTCATTGTTTACAAATTTTATTCTTCTTATCACATCATTAATATTTTGATCTCTTGGCCTTCAAGACATTTTAGAACTTTACGCGAATAACCAGTTTAACCTTTCAGGGTAAATTAAATATTTGACTCGAAAGGACATCCTAGTCATTTTCTTTAAATTCGGAGATTTTTTAGTTATTTCCTTAATTACGAGTGTACTTGCATCTTTTCTCCCTCGTAATTATTATTTTTATCAACACATATTATTCCATTAACTTAAGTAAAGACAATTCAATAATTTCAACCCTCTAAAAGTATTTTACCACACTCACAAGTATATCGAACGTTTAAAACTTATGGAAAGAGTACTTGATTAATTATCAATGTATTAACATTTTTTTTACATTATTAATCTTTTCTTATCACTTAATATGACAAAGGACATTTTAGTCTTCCTCTAATGCTTAACACGTGCAGATTAATTTATTATGATATTCTCTTAAAGTATTATGTTTCTGTATGCACTTTGGATCATTATTAGCCACTAATCACAATTAAGGCTAATTTGATAATTTTACCTTAATATTACTCGAATAATTAATCGAGAGTTCAATGTAGACACCCATTTTCATCCGGGACTAGTTTTGAAATTTTTGTATTATATATTATATTAGGTTAATCATAGTTTTGTTTGGTTTAGTATTATATAATATATAGTATAATACACACATAATATTTATATAAGTATATTATATTTTATATAGTAAATAGTATTTATATATTTTATTTTATATAATATAGTATATATAGTATATATATATTTTATATTTTATTTTTATATTATATATAGTATTATATAATATATATATAGTATTTACATATTATTAATATATTTATTATTATTATATTATTATATATTTAGTACAATTATTAAAATTATTATTATTTTAGGTCCAACCAGTTCAAAGCAAGTCCAAAAGATCAGGTCCAAGTCAAAGATCCATATTGAGGTTTAAATCAAGACCTATTCCAGCAAATGCCCAAGAATGAAGCTCGTCTGCCTGATCCAGCAGATGAGCCCTAACCCAAACACGTTAGGGTTTCGTATTAAACTTTAGCTTTGCTCTCTCAAGAGCCGTTAGATCGAGTGATTGATCAACGGTCAAGATCTTGATAGACTAGGGTTTTAAACCCTAAAAAACATATCTCTTCGGCCAGCCCTTTGATCCAACAACTAAAATCGTATCAGAGGAACCCAAAGGTCCGTTCGACCAATTAACTACGAGTGAAGACCACGATCTGGTGAAGTCACCACATACGCGATAGGATGAGGTATTTTTCGACCATTTTCACGAGAACATTTTTGGAAATATCCCAAAAAATGGAACAAATCAAACCGAATATTTCCAAAATAGCAACCCAAATCAAAGATGGCAAGAGAATCAATCGAAATCATCAAACAAGGCAACAGTGATCAAAATTTGAATCAAATCAAAAGCAAAGGGAAGTTTCCCTCCCACTAGTTTAAGCATGCAAATCGAATCAAAAGGAAGAAGGCAAAGAAATTCCCACATCATGGCAGCCAATGATTCACACATCACCATATTAAGGGAAAGAATCCCTTCCCTAAACATTATATAAGCATCATGCGAAGAAGAGAGAAGCACAAAGCATCAAGCATTCGAAACCCATCCAAAAAAAGCGATAAAAGAGAACTTAGCATTTTGTTCGTCGGAGAAGTGAACGGTCGCCGGAGAAAAGGTAAAACCTAAACCTTGCATGCTTCGATCTACGTCGGTGAGGGTATTTTCTTGATATTTGGGGCTCAGATTTGGGTTTAGGAGATTGAAAGAAGTCGATGAGGTAGGTTGTTAGGATTTCGACCATCGATGGTGTGGCTAGACCTGTGGTCGATAGGGTTTTGTTTGGGTTTGAGGTCGCCGATTTTGTGGTGAGAGGCGAGTGAGTTGAGAGCATTTGAGAGGCTTTTTTAGAGAGGAGAGTTAGAATGAAATAAAAAAGGAAAATAATGGCTATTTATAGGAGAGGCCTCTGTGTAATTAGCAAGCATTTAAATTATTTCCCAGTCCTTGGAATTATGATGCGTAATTCATTTTGGTCACTATTGTAATTCCACCTTTAAATTTAAATTTAAATTTTAATTCAATTTAATCCTTTTTTTTTATTTTATTTTTATATATTGGTACCCTGACCCATTTGTTTATTTTACAATATTTTTTTCTTTAAATTTTATTTTATTTTTAAGGAACCCTTTTTAATATCAAAATTCATCAAAGGTAAGTCACTACTTATTTGTGGCATCTAAAATATTGTCACTAAAGCTTATATTTATGTCACTATTTGTATTTTGTGACGTAAAAATTGACGTCACGAAGAACGTCACCCTAGGTGCGTCACTAAATGTCAAATGTGACGATTTATATATTTTCGTCACGTATTACTAAATATATAGTGACATTAATGAATAACGTCATATTATAATTAATATTGAATGACAATCAATTATGCCATGAAATTATATAAAATATTATCATTATTTATTTATATCGTTATCAATAATATAATAATTTTATTCTATAAATAACGAAAATAAAATCATCACAATTAAAAAATTATATAATTTTTTTTAAATATTACATTTAAGGACAAAGATTTGCCCGTCCAGCTTAGTTGGTAGAGCGCAAGGTTCTTAACCTTGTGGTCGTGGGATCGAGTGGCACGGTGGGCAATTCATAATTCTGACTGCCGGAGGTCTTTTACGGAAGCTGCTCTCAACTTGGCGTTGGGGGCAGCCTACTATCCTACCTCCCCCTCACCCCATTACATATGGAATAGGGCCAACTAATTTTTTTTATTTTTTTTAAGGACAAAGATTTTTATAAACTACAATAATGGAAAAATCT